CCGGTTTGTGGGGAGCGATCAACGGAAAGGGGCGATGTTGGATGACAAGGGGGGGCGGGGGTTCGCGGCGGTTGACGGCGTTGGATGCGTGAGGGCGCGGGCGCCGGGCAGGCGGCGAGTTGGATTCCCCGCGGTTCGATCTGTCTCGGAGGTCGGCGTGGCGTTGGTGAGACCGGTGGGAAGCTGGGCGGGAAGTCGGGCGAAGGGGTGGATTTCGATGGGACGTGGGGTGCCATGGGGGTCCGGGGGGCGCGCAAGCTTTTTAGGGAGTTTCCATGCAGGGGGATGTACAAACGGGGCAACGACAAGGGAAGGGGGGGGAGGGGGGGGGACGGGGAAGGGGGGCCCCGCGGGACAGGGGGGAAGGGAGGCCTCGGGAAGAGTCAGTGAACGGGGGCAGAGGAGGGAGGTCGGCGTGCGAAGGTTGCTAATGGTTGTAGAATTGACCGTCCGCTGCGAGCTCGGCTGCCGTGGTTCATTATTTGGCCGGCGGGGGCACGTGTCGCCGGACGCAGTTCTGACCTGAAAAAGCGAACGCCGCGAACGCGGTTTCCATGAAATTGAACGGCGACGCGGCGGGTGGTCGGGGAGCGGGTAGACGATGCAGTTCGCACCGCTGGGTCTGCTCTCGCGTGCCTGAGTCCGTGAAGATTCCTGATTGCCGTGTTGGCAAAGAGGGTCATTGCGTCCGCAGCTCTGTGAAGCAAAGGCCGTTTGCGCACCTCGCAGCAGCGGCGTTATTCTTCAGACGTGGCACCCCAGACAAGGAATGTAGTTCACGTGGCACGACTCACCGCAGCCATGACTTGGGGTATTTCCACGACACTTTTCCTCCCAATTGCGACATTATGCGGTTGTATCCTCTCTTTTTGGCAGCCTGAGTTGTTCCCCCCCTCCCCACTTCCCTTCCCCTGCCAAGAACCTGGTTTCCCACCATGGAATGTGAAATGTTTGGTGAAGGGATGCGAAAGCTTCACAATACAATTCCACTCCACCTCCCTCTATTTCCCCAAGCAACACACAAAGGTCGGGTCTCCATTGTGCCTCATATCGACATGTTCACGCAAAACATATAAGGGACAATCTGTGTGCAGACATGTGTCCATGAAGGCCTTGAAAGTGCATGGGAACTCCTTTGTCACTTTCTGGCAATTGCACACCTGCACATCCAGCACTGCCCTGTGTGTGCCATGCACAGGAATGGTGAAGCATGCCATACGACATCCAACTAGTGCTGTCTTCTTTTGAATGTACTCTGCTACAGCTATTGTGCCCCCCCCCGCCCCCCACACCCCCACATCCCCACCCTTTCACAAAGCCTTCCAATAAGACTACAGTTTCACCAAGGAAACAGTAGCATTAACACAGAAACAATGCCAAAGTTGCCGAGCACGCCACATCTATCCTGCAACTGTGCATCGCAGTGCATGTGCTTCCTGACCACACACCAGTCATCATTCCTCACGCCAGCATGATCAACTGCCCTTGCCGTTTCCCCTTGCCCCTTGTCTCTTCATAGACTCCTAGCACACTTCGATGCATACAGTCAAGTCAGCTTCACATTACTGGAAAATTTTCTGCAAAACAATAGATGCAACACTATGATAAATAATAAACATCGTGCCCAGTATTCTGCAATTCAGATGCTCAGTTCTTGTGACAGGTGACCAGGGACTGCCACTCATCGGAGAGACCCCGGGACTGTTCATGTGTGAGGGCAACGAATTTCCGATGAGCATATACAAACGCCATGGGCCCATCTCCAGGACGAGCCTGTTTGGAATGGAAGCCGCCGTCATTTTTGGCAGCCAGCGCATTCAGAGGGTAACGATCAATGGCACACACGAGTCAGGGGAACCAGTTCGAGGGCGTCATCTAGGGACGATTGTCTTTGAGTACCCAGAACTGCAATACTTTGTGCACGTTCAAGGCGGGGGCCCGCTCTCAGCTGATGGCGATCGGTTACAATAGCGCTGCGGTGATGCCATAAATGGATCCGCCACAGACCAGATGCAGTGTCTGCGTAGTCGAGCGCTGTTGCTTGCTGCCTCAACACGCTGTCCATTGTCTGTGAGTGCAATGCACATGCTTAAAAACCATTGACACTATTGTTGTGATGGGTTTGAACCGGTACGTTGGCGTTGCACTGATGTTCAACTGCATGCCGCTGCCAGTGCCTCGCGAAGGACTCCCATAAGTCGCAGTTGTGGCTTCCAGGCGCGGCAATGAGGTTGCTGGGACCCCTCGATGACCTGTTGTACGGTGAGCAAGCAGCCGAATATAAATGAGCAAAGATAAACATGTTGGGAACTAAGGAGCAATGTAAATACAATTGTTAGTTGCAAAAATTCAGTTTGCAGATGGCCAAAAAGTTCACTCATTTGTTGCTCTTGATCCTTTTTGTTGAAATCAGAAAAGAATGGAAAGTGGAACTTCCGGCAAATCTCAAGCGCCCGCTGCATGGTTGGCGTGCAGTTGGCGCCATATGTTTTTGGTGAGCAATACAGAACTCATCAGTCGCGTGTGGGTTTTGGCCCTTTGCTTATATTGGAGATCAACTGAAAAAGCAAACATGTAATATCGAAGCAATGACAAGTGAGCTACAAGATCAAGCAGCCAGAATGGAATTATGCGCAGGAATCTAATCAAATTGAAGGCCTGCTAATTGTGGAAAGTCGTTTTTCCGAGCTGTAAAATGCTAGGAAAAAAGAGAAAAATAAACCTTGCTCAAAAGTGTACAAAGTTTACGGTTTTGGGTAATTTTTGTGTTCTTAACGTGCAGAACATTGATGAATGCATTTCGTGTGTGTTCGCAAAAAGAGTTGTCTGGTCCTTTTTTTGGCTAGTGCGACGGGTCGGCGCAACATGGAGCTGCCTTATATTTTGTGGATGAAACGCCACGCCAGCAACTGTTGGCAAATTATACTGGCACAGCACGGTGGGAGAATGTGCGAGCACAAGTGTACTGGCATTTTGCCTGCCGGTGCTGACGCGGGGTTTTGTCCACCTAAAACCAGGGCATGAAATGGGTCCCTCTGTCATTTTGTGATTGTTGATTCCTGTTTCGACACCGTGAGCCCTAAACCAACGACTCGCTGACCCGCGTTGGCCTTGCCAGCAGCGGAAGAAGGGATCTTCAAGGAAAGAAGTGGGGACAAATACGTTCCCTGAGACGTTGGTCAACGTGGCCAGCGGACGCACTCTATCAATCGCTTCGTTCAGATCCCAGCGTTTCGAGTTTGCCGGCGCCAGTGGCCGCACATCTGCCCTAGCTTGAGCACAAGCAGCGCATCCTGGCAGATGGTGAATGCTTCATTGCATGTCCTCAGGGCATTGTCCTGTGAAACTTGCGGCATGCTACCCGTAAGCGCATTGCTTCTGACTCCGGCAAGACATGGCAGTGCGAGAACGGCAAATCCCGCTCGGGTAAATTGAACGCAACGAAGCAGTGCCCAGTGCTGAGTACCGCACCGGAACTGCTTGGGAGGCGTTGGCCGCCTTGCCGGACAGTCGCATAAAACCCACCTTTAGGTAAAAGCGTCTCAGCAAAAATGCAACAAAGTACAACGCAATGCAACACCGCACAAACCGCACTACACAGCGCAACACAATACAACACGGTACAACACAACACAACACGGTGCAATGCAGTGTTGTAAGTGCTAAATCTTGCACCTATTGCACCAATAGGGGCCAACGCCACGAAGAAAAAAGCGCTCCTGGGCCGCTGGTTCACCGCAAAACACACGAACTCCATCGCGGAAGACATTTTCGCTCTGCAAGAGAAGAGGAGCGCGGAGTGGGCAGAAAAGGGGTGCATCTTGTTGCACGAAGAGGTGATTGATAAGTACTGTTGCAATAGTATTCGCGCATAACATATGCTGTGTAATGTACGATGTATGCAATATGCGATGAATGGTATCCAATATACTTCTGAAGTAGTTAAGAAGGTATAAGAATAAGAATAATGAGAATAGAATATATATGTAAAAATATTGATTAAGAAGATTGAGGAATAAGGTAAGAAGTACAATATGCAATTATAATTGGAGCTATGGGGCTTACAGTATTTACTGATAAATGGTTCACAGTTTGATAACTTCATAGTAAGTAATGTTAACTTCAAATTGTGGATACAACAAATGTATTTTACCCAATTTTCGTGCTCATCCGCTGTACTATTTTTATCAGTAATCGGTATGTGGCGCGTTGTTTTAGTTTGTCGCCAACTGTTGACAAGTATGTCTTGGTGGATGGCGATGTTGTTAATGGCAACGATTTGTCGTATTAGTGGCACTTCTGAGATTTTGGAATACCAGTATGCCTATGTTATTGAAAATAGGTAACAATAAAGTTGAGATTATGCAAAAAAAACTTGTGGGCAATTGCGCGACCACCTGAGTTGCTGAGGCACTAAGCTTTCGCAAAGTCGACCATATTCCAGTTTTGTCAATTATAATTGGAACATACAATTGCGTATATTATGTTTTGTGCATGACAATCATCAAATAGATACATTCTCAGTGCCATAATTCAGGATTCGGACTGGAGCGCCAGGAGACTGTAGATGCCGTAGTGTCCTATGGCGTGGTCATTGAAGTGAATTGGACGCGCATTGAGTATCTGCGCCCTAGCGTACTGAGAAGCAAAATAATATGCAAAGAAAGAAAGCAAGAAAAACTTCCAAGAATTCTCCGTTTATGGCCTTGTACAGAGCAATGCGTTGGCAAGGTTCCTTTCTAAAGTACGGCAAACTGTCGCACAATTGTCACGCACTTTTGAGTGCGCATGACCTGCAACACTGCGGCTTTACGCAAGAAGCTTCCAGCTGGCTCTGAAACTCCACAGCACGTGCGTGTTTCCATCCCATCGGCCGCCTTGACGAATCCACGCCGAGGTGCTCATGAACGGCCAGACCCATTGACTAGCATTGTCAGCCTGCGGGGCGCCTGACGTCAGCCATTGTCAATCCTTTCTGGTGCGCCATTCAGGTGCAGGCAATGGCATTTCATGCCGTGGCCGACGTCGTTTTTGGGCTGCGCTTTCCTTTGGGGGCCCTCTCGAGTGACGAGACGTTCGGGCACTTTCGAGCATGGGCAGCCGGGTGGTTCACTCTGGGCATGGACCTGCCGTTCTCAACATACCGCCGGGCGTTGCAGGCCAGGGAGGCTTTGGTGGACGCACTGACCGAGGTACACATCGAGCATCCATTGCTCATGTCCGCACTTGTTACCTTCTAACAGACATCACACAGTAGACTTCTAACATAGTAGAAATCTAATATATCAATCAAATAGATATCTAGTAGTCTAGTAGACATCGTTTGAGGAAATAAAGGTGCAAGTAAGATGTGCACGGTGCTGAGCTTTGTACCGCTTTGTCTTCCAGAAACCCTTTTGCTGTTTGTGTAAGCTCTGAGACGTGTTGAAGGCATACTTCATGGCGGAATTCATAGACGCCGAAAGCCACTGTTGCTTTGAAGAGTGGGCGAATATCGTCACAGCGCTTTTGCCATCACATTTGCCACGTGAAAATGCAAGTGTTTTGGCCGAATTGGTGGTGTCAAGCCCTGGCCCCAATCGCATGCACTGGCAATAAGTGGACGACTGGCTGCCAAAAACCCCTTTGGGTATGAAAATGCTGCGCGTTGTTGAGGCCACCGCTAGCTGGACGCTGAGAAACTCCATTGAGCGGCCCTTCGTCAGTGAAACAAGAAAACGCTGTTGGGCGATCACGAGTTGGTCCATTGTCTGCACGGTTGAGTTTGTTTGTGAGATTGCCGCACTATTCCCGCAGTTCAATACAATATCGGCGAGTAATTCAACAATTTAAGTGGAAATTGCTGTTGCAAATTGGGATTGTAAGCTGCAATAGTGAGATGCAAATTTGAAGCGCAATTCTGAGTTCTGGCTATGAATTTCAATTGCGAATGGCCAAATTTCGTGTTGTGGATAGACTGCAGTTGTGAATTGTGCGAAATGGCCAATTGGACCCCATCAGCCGCGCCGTTGATGTCGCTTGAGTTTGGCGGGGGGGCCATGATTCTCGAGAGTGCGCCTCTCCTCAGGAACTTGAACACATTGCCAAACATCCCGAGTCCGACAGGCAGCCGGGGCTGCGAGAACTGGTGGCCGCTCGCGACAACGACGGCTACAGGCTGAGCACGAGCGAGATCATTGCGAACATAATTGGGACCATTTTCGCAGGATACAGCACCGTTGCCGGCATGAGCATGCAGATGATGATGGCATTGGCAAAGCATCCGAAGGTGAGGCGGCACACTCTCCTGTCTGTGCCGTTCCATATTTCCATCATTATCAATATCATCATCCCCCAAGGGCCCCTGTTGTTGTTATTGTCCATTGCATTATTCTGCATGTCAGCCCACAGTCCTTGCCTGGATGCGTGTTGCAATGTTTCCTGCGTGTTGGTGGCATTTCCGGAAGGTTAGCTATTAATTACCTTATTCGTGACAAAAATCGATAATGGTACTACTCGTAATATTCATAGTAATATCAATGCTCGCAACATTCGTTTGTTGCGAAAGTAATTCGCACATGTCGTAATGTTCGTGACTAATTTGTAAGTGTTGTAAAAATTCGAAGCACTTCCTGAATGAAGCCGCCACGCGCAACTGCCTGGGCGCAGGTGTGGAACAAGCTCAAGGACGAGCAGGAGAGGGTGGTGGCCGAGCTCGGGCCCCAAGTGACCGGCACGGCACTGGGCCGCATGTCCTACGCGGAGGCCGTGATCCGGGAGGTCTGCCGCACCGCAAAGTTCGGCCCCCAGTTCAGATTAGTCACCGAAGCAATGGACGTGGACGGCTACCACATACCCAAGGGCTGGCTGCTCGTGCTGTACGCCGCCTTCTCCGAGTGCTACCTCGACGACCGGTGGCCGATGGATGACTCATTCGATCCGGACAGGCACCTGTCCGTGCCCGACTCGCGGAAGAGGTGGCCCCTGAACTTCGGCTGGGGGCCCCACGTGTGCATGGGGCGGTTCCTGTCGATGGTGGAGCTCAAGGCCCTGCTGGCCAGCCTCGCCAGGGGGTACACGGTGGAGCTGCTCGAGCCCGACGCAGAGCTGAGGTTCCCCACTATGGAGCCCCCGGGGGGGATGCCGGTCGTCGTGAGGAGGTCGGACGGCTGAGGGGGGAAGGGGATTTTAACGCGGAGGAGGGGGATTACTGATCAGATTGGTCGAACGTCCGTTTTTAGGAAGATTGGTACTAAACAGTAATATAAAGCACCAAGCCTTCCACCAGTTTTTCACTATTCTGACAATATTGCAACAGTATTCTCACAGAATTGACTTCTCCGAATCTGATTCTGAGAATCTGCCAGTTGAAATTCACTTTGATTGTTTTTTCGTGGACAGAACTGTGGCCCGGTTTTGGCCTTGAGGTGTGACGGGACCCGACGGGATGGTGGGGCATCCTGCTTTTCTTTTCTGTTTTCTATCCTGTTTCCTTTTTCCTGTTTTTTTGTTTTGTTTTTGTTTGCGTTTGCATCCGGCCCGCTGTTGGGCACGGGATGCCGGGATTGCCTCTGGGGCGTTAGCCGGAACTCGCGGAGGCGGATGCCTTTCTGGGCCCAGCGGGCAAGAGGGGCGGGAGTCGGAATGGAGCGGCGGCTGGCTGACACAAAACGGAGACAGGAGATTGGGATAAATCGATTCGGATAAAGGAACAGGAGATTGGGGTAAATCGATTCGGATAAAGGAGCAGGAGATTGGGATAAATCAATTCGGATAAAGGAACAGCCCATTGGGATAAATCGATGGCGAAGCACTGCCGAGTACTGAATCCTGGGTCGGCTTCCCCAGGAAGGGAACGAACGGCGGAGGGGATTTGGCGCGGCTGCATGCGAGCCAGTGCGAACGTGTGACCGAGTGGGCGACCGAAGTGACATAATGGCATACGTTTGCGCGTGTTTTTGTTGGCCCTCTTGATTTGACTTGCTGGGCGCGGGCCGTGTGAACTTTTTTGAAACACCTGAGAATGTTTGGCGCGCTAAGGAGCTGCGAAGGGCGTTGTTCTCTGTTGGTGTCATGTGAAGCGGCGGCCTTGCGACGAAGGATCAACGAGGCCTCCGCGATCAAACAAATGCCCGTGCTGTTGATGCCGAGCGCGGTGGCCGTTTGCGACAAGGACGGCGCTGCGCATTCACAGCAATGGTGCACACGCTGCTTCGCCATGTGGTACACCTTGGCAACGTGCATGGTACCTTGGCAACGTGCATGGAACGCTTCAACACTTGCGTACTTTAGCACTTCAGTGCTTCCACACTGTGGAACGTTGAGCATTCATTTTCGAGACATATGTCATCGATCTGATTCAATGGGGCGCAGCAATGGACTTTGCACGATGGCGAATAAATTAAACGACGGAAATTCCGTTGCTTCCTCTTTCCCTCCACTCCGCCTGCCTATAACATGCACGCCCAGCCCCGGTGCAAGTCAGTGCTGACCCAGGGACGTTCCAAGGAACCCCCGCCTGCCTCACCGCCACTGCCTACACAGGCGCACCTCACCCACCGGCCCCCACTGCGAACAACCTTTCAGGAAGAAATGGCATTATCCAATGCTACAAAGCCCTAAGCCCAGTACTGCTTTTCCTTGAAAGGTGGCCTGCACGCCCCACTCCCTAAACTGCTAAACATCGAAAGTAAACACACTGCCTAAACATCGAGTTGTTCTCCCAACTTCCCTGGCTCCAGCCACGGGCTCCAAGGAGCTGTGCGAAAACTCCAGGGAGCCGCTCAGTCCCTGGGGGCCCAACAATGGGCCCCAAGGGCAAACCCTGAGTTTAGGGGGGTCATGGCGCTCGCTCCCTGGACCGCAGCATGATCTTTCCCAGGTGATTCATCGCCCCGGCCAACTGCGCGTTGCTCAATGCCGCCATCCTGTGCTTCTTCGTCAGCTCTTTCGTCAGCATCGCCACGGTGGCAGGGCCGCCGTGGCCAAGCCGGTGGTACGAGTGCACGACGTTGAGCAGGGACTTCTCTGTGAAGCTTTCCAGACGCCCAGGCTCGGCCAACGCTTGGTCCACCAAGCTCAGAAAGCGCTGGTCCCTGCAGGTGGCAATAAGTTGAAAAGTTCTGAATTCTTTGATCGCATCCGCCTCAAAATGGCAATTTTTTGTCTTCTGTTGGGGCAATCATTTATGAAACGTTAGGCGCTCGCACCTTGCAGCAGAACACAGTCACATTCCATACCCTACAGCATTTGCAAATGTCGAACTGTGTGCCAAAAACGGTCGCCCACGTGTAAGCCTGTCGCACAGGACGATTCCGCATCATTTCATGGGCCAATGGGGTGTGGCGACATGGGACCATGAACAATCGATTCCGAACGAGCTATCTGCTTGGTTTTCACGCTCATCATCGCCTCCCAGGTGCACGGGCTGTGTTTGCTCATTTTGTGACAAATGTAATCCATGGATTATGATGATGGTGAAGGCTGTCGCAAGAACGATGTTCTTTCCAGAATATTCATTAATGACGCCTTGATCCCCAGATTCGTGTGAAGCATATACAATACACAAAGGAATCACTAAGGGGTGCAGTTGGCCAACAAATAATAGGCAGGTATAAACATAATGCACATCACAGAAAAATAGTTCGAAGCAATTGATGCTCAGAACTAAGGGCAGCTTACTTGGTGTTGCACTTGCTTGCGGCCATACACTTTGCGACCATGCAGACAGAGAGCCATTCAATCCAAGCACATGCAGCCAAACTGCAAACAACAGCAAGCTAAACACACTTCAGCCTGAAGTACACAGTTTCTGAGAAAACCATGGAAGCATGAACAGACAATAGTACACAGTCCCCAATTCGTCTGCTGGCAATAGTGCATGGCCCCGCCATCGCAGCACTTGCTGCGGATCACCTGTGGTGCAGCTGTGCCATGCCGAACAGTATCGACGTCATGGGGCCCTCCTCCCAGTCAGCCCCCCGGCGCATGACTTCATCCATCAGCGCCTCGATGAGGGCCACGTTGGAGTAGCCCACGCGGCCCATCGCCCGCACAGCGTTGGCCAGGCCCATGGGCGTGAATGCGCCCAGGTCTCGGCGGGTCAGGAGCTCAGCGGCGAAATCGTCGAAGAGGAGGCGGTTGGGGGACCGCAGGTGGCCCACGGAGTGGATGACGTTCTGGAGGTTCTGGTCGGAAAAGGATGAGACGCGGGACCTGATCTCTGACAGGACGGGCTCCAGGAGGGAGGGCTCGCGCACGTTCAGGTTGGCGATGGCGTACATGATGCCTGGGGGCGTGCCGATGCGTTTCAATGCATTTTTCAGTCCACTTTTGCGATCGCGGGCAGGTTGCGTGTTTGCTGCTTTTGCTTGTTTGTGGAGGACGCGCTCTGAAATGGTCAGTGTGCATGTATGAAGCTGTGCTCGCGTACCCAAGACACAGCTGCACGTTTGCTGCATTTGCTTGTTTGTGGAGAACACGCTCTGAAATGGTCAGTGTGCATGTATGGTGTGCTCGAGTCCCCAAGATGCAGTAGGCAATGAACACTCCATCCTAACAAGACTAAGCCGGTTTGCTGCAGTGCAGGGCAACCAACAGCGAGGATGAAAACGAAAGCCATAGGTGTGCTCACAGCAACGAATGTGCCCGTGGGGAAATGTCTCCGAAATCAGAAGACAGCTTGTCACAGTTCGTTCATAGGAATGAATAAAATATATAAAACAGCATAAAATAAACAATTTGGTAGAATACAACCAAATCAAGTGTATGTCTGGTGGCTATGCGTGTGGTGTGAGAGCATCATGTGTGGGAACAGAAGTGGGATTTATTGCTTGTGCATATCAGATCCTGCCTGGGTACAGTCGTGTTCAGTGTGGGGAATCATGCCCTTTGTCGCCATGGGGACAGTTTGAGGTCTTAAACATGCGCTGTTGGCTTTCGATGCACTGCACTGCGGTCATTTGCTTTCTTCTTCATTCTAGTGCAGTGCAGGAGGACAACATCACCCCTGTCATAGGATCATTTTATACTTCGAGGTCCTAGTTTCCTAGTTTGCTGTTTCTAGTTTCTAGTTCAACTGGCATGGGACTCAGACATAAAGTCTTCTGTCACTGGCATTCATGAAAACGAACATTGCTTCTTGCACACCTCTCTGCATCTTTTCCTCAGTTTGACAAGATAAGCTTGGTCCTTTCATCATGTGCACCTGGCCTGCCAGGTCTTATGGATTAACAGTGCTGAGGCTGCGAGGTGGTTTGCCACACGTGCCTGACACAGCCTCAATGGTCCCGGGCCTGGATGTGCCACAAGCGTTTGCTACCAACAACCGCACACACATCCGCATGCATGCACATTCTGCTGCTGGCAGTTGTCCAAACAACACAATCAGCAAGCATCAATGAGGAACATGTAGTGTTGTTGGTGGGGACTTACCGGCAAGGCCCTTCTCATGGAACAACTCCAGGCGCCCCTTGGACACAGCTGCCGCCACGACAGCATTTATCACCTCCATGTTCTTGGGCCTGTTCTGCGTGAACGCGTACAGCAGCATCGTGATGTCTGGCTCCGTGCAGCCGTCCAGCCTGCCCGGCCTCAGCAGCTCCGCGTGCAGCGGCCCCACCACACTGTCCGATGCCATCCCGAGGTTGCCCAGCGAGAACAGGTTGCCCGCCAAGCCGTGGGCCGAAAAGGATCCCACATTGTGCGGCAGGGCGACCGTCCGGACCAGCCGCCGGAGGATTTTCTTGCTGGGGGGCTTCATCTGTCCGAGGCCAAAGAGAATGTTGGTGAAGCCGTGGGGGTTGAGCGCCCGGAGGCGTTCATGCTTGGACAGCTCCATGATGAGAGGCTCGAGGGTGGAAGGATTGCGGATGCCCACCTGAGGGAGGCAGTCACCTTGTGAGCACAGTTGTGATTCCTTTCTACAGCCCATGGGGCAAGAAACAGGACATGAGCACTCCCTAAGAGAATCAACACAAGAGAAAGTCAAACCCCAATGCTACCTTGCAGCAATGTAAAGTTGTGAGCACTGTTGTGACACAAGCTGCATCGAGTATGACAATCGCACTGCGCACCTTCAAGTGGAGTGGTGATGGGCATGACATCATCCATGCTGCGTGCTCTTCATCCGCTTTTGTTTAACTTTGATTCTAGAAATACAGTCCTAATGGAAGGGCTGTGGGCGATGTGCAGCCACACAAGAAACAGCCAGGCGATGCCATGCCTAATAGATTGCTCATATCAGTCACGTGCATGAAACACGATGTATGACAATGAGTCATCTCACAGAAAGAGGCCCAGTCCTTGCCTTGTGTTGTCTTTTCTGCTTCCAGAGTGTTGCATCACATTTTAGAGTATACGTGCTACCCCAATCAGAAGATATGTGGGCCTTGCGACACCCCAAAAAACTGTGCAAAGGATGCAAAGCCCAAGAGATTGTTCACATCAGAGTGCTCGGCCTCCAAGCAAAGGGAAACTCAGTGCTCGGTGTGGGGATGAAGGGTTACGAGGAGGGCTGGCAATTGCTTTAGTTGTTGTCATCTTCCTTTTCCCCACAATGTCACATCACATGCAAATGTCCAGGGAGATCACAGGGAGGTGCAATACTGTGATTGCACAGTCAACATCAGCTCAAAACTGTGCAGTCGAGAAGGTTTCTTTATTGCACCTTAAACATAGAACCAACCGACCACATTCCTTCCTCATCCCACTCCACCCACAGCATGCCCACGGCTGGGGCGATCCTCACCTGCCCCAGGGCGTAGATAATCCCCCCCAGCATGAAGGCCATGAAGTTGGGCAGGTGCTCCGCGCGGGCAACCCGCTCCAGCAGCAGCTGCCCCAGGTCGGGGTGCCTGCCGGGCAGCATGCGGCCAAATCCCTGGATCAAATTGACCAACCCACGTTCGCTCACGCCATCCAGCCGACCAGGCAGCATCACCTCCGTGGCGAGCATGTCCACGAGGCCAGGCTCCCTCTGTCCCAGCTGCATCATCCCGTGCACAACCATCGACAGGTCCTGGTTCGACAGGCGGGCCACCATCTGGGGCTGCATCCATTCGTTCACAATGGCGTCCACCTGGGGGCTGCGGTAGCCAAGGTTGCCGAGCCCATACAAGATCCTGGAGGCCTCGTGGCTGGAGAACTGGCACAGGCGACCTGGCCGGGTGATCTCTGCCACGATGCGCTCAAGGGCAAAGTCGTCGACGATGCCCATGCTGCCCATCCCCCACACCACGCTCGCCAGGCCGTGCGTGTTGAAGAGGCGCAGGCGCTGCGGGGCGGCCACCTCTATCAGCAGGATCTTGATGTAGAAGGGGTCAGCGAACCTGGCCTGGCCCAGGCCGTAGACGATGCCCCCCAGCCCGTGCTCAGAAAACTTGCCCAGGTGCTCGGGCTTGATCACCTCCTTCATCAGCTGCTGGAACACGCCCATGTCCGTGTATCTCAACTCCCCCAGGCTGAAGATGATGCTGGACAGACCTATTTCAGAGTAGCGCTCCAGCCTCTCAGGCTTCATCACCTCATCCACCACGCAGCGCACCTCATCCTCTCCGATTTCCCCCACATCTGACATACCATACAGCACGCTCGCCAGGCCCCTCTCGGTGTACCGAGGCAGCCTTTCAGGCCTAAGCCCTTCTTGGAGCACCTGGAAAGAAGCATAATTTAATCACTGTCATGTGCACGAGGTGCATTGCCTACTGGCATACAACTTCCTTCTATTCCCAAACATCACATCACACCTCACTGCCCAGGTGCCACCCCAATCCTAACAGCAAAGATGGAAAGCCCTGCACCCCCTGACAAGAAAGCGCAACCCAGAAGGGTTGCATAATGCATTGAGTTCAATCATGTGCACACCCCAACTCACCAGGGCTTCAGTTTCCGATGGTTGTTGGGGATGGGGCTCTACAAAGATCGCATTTTTGGGCATTCCTTGTGAAGAGCAACAGCCCTTGCCTGTCTTGCAGGTCCCAACAGGCCACCAGCTCATCATTTTCACAAATGCAGTCATAGGATGTGCACATCTGTTGGACACATAGGCTTGGAATGGCATAAGGTGGGATTCCAGCATTCATTGCATTCGCATTTTGGGCAACCTCCGTACGTGGGTTTCTGCCTGATATCGTCATGCAGACGGCATCAATACATGAAAGTTTTCCTCAGCTCTAAGATACATACATTATGATATTCTAAGACACAAGCAAGATTTCCAAGTTGCAAAGATAATGCCTAAAGTATTGAGATTTCATTCAAGATACATCTCGTCACATCACCTGGAAGCGCTTGGCCTTGTCGCGCACATTGAGCTTGCCCAGTCCGTATATGACCCCCGCAAGGCCGTGGTCTGTGAAGTGCGGCAGGCGCTTCGGGTCTGCCACCGCCTCCACCACGGCATCAACCGTCTGCTTGTCCTGGACGTCCAACCGAGCCAACCCAAAGCACAAGCAGCTCAGTGAAAACTCTGAAAACTGGGCCAACCGGCCTTCCTGCCCAATGGCATCCAGCACGACTTTGATGGATTCCTTGTCTTTGAACTTGCACTGGCCGAGGGCGTACACCAGGCTGGCAAGGGCACGCTCATCCAGGGTGTCGATGTGGGTGATGACTTTGGCCACCAGAGCATGCAAGCCTGTGTGGTCCTGAACTCCAAGCTCGCCGATGGCCGCCATGTAGCCGATGATGTCGCGGATGGACATGTCAGACAGCCTCTGGGGTTTGATGGCCTCCAGGGTGAATTCGCGCAGGAAAGCCTCGTGGCGGTATCCGAGCTTGACCATGCCTGCAGGGATCAGCAGGGGCAGATTCCTTTGGGATGCAGCTAACGAGGGTCAAGCCAGAAAATCCAATGCCAATGCAGCCCCTTTCTGTTGTCAGCATAATGCCAACAAAAACCATTGCATTTCAAAAAAATACTACGCATCATACTTGCGGAGATTTTATGACACTTATTTGTGAGTTAAATTCGCTTCAGATCACACCCTTGTGAGCGTGAGCACCACCTCATTTTGCCTGTCAGGTTCAAAAGTAGTGATTCTTCACAGTGTGGAGATTGTCCTTGATGAATGCTGATATATCGCAACAAAAACAATGCCTTGTTTTAAGCAATTCATTGTTGATTGTTAATTAGAGGTGCACCAACAACGCACTGCCAACAGGCTCACATCATGCGAATTGACAAATCCAGTTGATGAAAACAAATGGGAATACAATTGCATGTGCCAACAAACACAACAAATGCAAAATCAAGAATCAAAGGACGCATGCTCCTCCTTGGCTAGAGGACCAACCCTGCATTGCCCTATTGTTCAATGCAACATCAATGCAATGCTGGCTGGGCTCAGCACAATGTTGGCTGGTCAGCAACACTGCAAACAGGTCAGCTTAGAGCCATCAATCCCAACACGTTGTCAACACAAACCTCACCCCTGTTGAGAATGAAGCAAGAAAGGAAGAGAGAAGTTGAAAAGGAAATGGAGAAAGCACTCACTTGACAGCACGGTGTGGAAAGACACTTTGGACAGGCCCACCATGCGCTCAGGCTTGGACATCTCCCGTGCCAGTGCCTCCAGCATGCTCCCCTCCGACACGCCGAGCTCCGCCATCGCCTCCCACAGGTTGGACAGCTCCCAGGGGGAGTACCTCCCCAGCCTGTGCTCCTTCATCATCTCATTCAAAAATGGCAGCACTAGCTCGTCGTTGCGGTAGCCCACCACCACCAGGGCGTGCAGCATGCCCGACAGTGCCTGCTCGGTGAAATCGCCGATTCGAGCCGGCCGGATTGCATCCTCCATCAGGGTGTCCAGCACTCGGTCATCCCTGAACCTGAACTGGCCGTAGCCGGTGACGATGGTGGCCAGGCCCTGGCTGGTGTAGCCATCGCGCAGGCTGGAGGCCACGATGAGCTTGCCGAGTTGTGTAAGGAGGCCCTCGTTGCGGAAGCGCAGGTGGGACAAGCCATACACCATGTTGGACACGTGCCATGCGTTCACCTGGTCGGAGGGCAGGCTTGGCAAGGATTCAATTACACGTGGGTTGATCGATCAATTTCTCGATCGATCAATCTTTCCATCTATCTACCTCTTGAGTGAACAATTTTTGATCGATCATTCCATGAATCGTGGTTGAGAGCAATGGCGCTCGGGATAAGGGGGAAAATCCCTGTGCATGGAATTGGTTGGTTGACATTGGTTGGAATTGGTTGACATATGCAAGCAAGAATGCGTTTTTTTGGTTTGAAATCGGAGCAATTCATTTGTGACAATAGTGCACAGGCACCTGTGCGGCTTGACGATTGCATCGACACAGTCTGTTCAAGAGCATTCGCTCATTCGCCGCAATTGTGTTCTGACCCAGTCGAAAGGGGAAGTCACTGAGCCATGAGCGCAGTTGGGCACTGGGTGTTGACAGCCAAAAAATATAGCCATAAGAGGTGAAACTCCAGCAGTGACACAAGGGATGCAGTGCTGACCGAGACTCAACCAGCATTCTGTACATGCCCCGTGGAGCGACTTCAGGCCAAGTCATGTGTGGCATCATTAACATCAACACATCAATCAGAACACTTTGTGCATACATAGGCCCACAACCCACGATCCCACTACAGGCCATTGCACAATTAAATAACTCATCAAAACACACATGCACAAATGACCACTCTGTCAATGCATGAATACACAACTCAGTAACATATACATGTGCGGCAATACCCTGGAAACAGAAAGGAAATAAGTACTAGGCCAAGACACAAGCAAATACCTCGTCGTATTCTGAGATAGTCAGGAACCGGCCCGTGAGCAGCGCCACCAGATCATCCTGCCTGCTGAACAGCCTCCCCTCCGGCCTGGTCTCAGGCCTCCGGGCGGGGTCCCCCGGCTTCACAACAGGCTCTCCGGGCCCCCTGGGCCAATCTTCCCCCTGCCTGTGCCCCTCCCAACCTGGCCCCCGCTCCTGCACCAGCTTCTGCAGTGTGCCCAGAGAGTATATCGTTGTGGCCACCTGAATGGAGCAAAGGGTTGTATTCATGAACACAGGCATATTGGATTTCAGCAATTCTTCCTCTTCTTCAACAACAAATGTATGCATTGCGGACGGGCGGCGAGTGGGTACCAAGAATGGATGAGGCACAGAAAAGCATTGCAGGATGCGTGTCCGCATCCCGCCGTCACCTGCAAGGTGCCAGGGTACCGCTTGTCGTTCAGAGGCAACTCAAGCAAAGGAATCCAGCTGTGACCACCTGCCCGTGGTTGAACGCCTCGATCTGGAAGGGCAGGAACGCCTGCTGCGCCAGCGCCTCGAACAGCCGGAAGTCCACATAGCTCAGTTTGGCACAGGCGTGGAAGATGGCTGCCACATGCTTGGGGCGGGCCATTGGCGCTTGCTCGAGCGCCTGGTCGATCAGTCGTTTGATGAAGTCCTGGGGAGCTGGGGTGTCAAAGCGCTTGAGGGTTGTGAAGGTGGACACAACCTCGCTGATGTGCATGTAGGGTCCGAATTCGTAGATTATGGACTGCAGCTCCTCCAGGGAGTTGCAGGAGCGGAGTCTGCCCACAACGGTGCCAATCCATTGGTTTCCACTGGCTCATTGCAACCAATAACTGTTGTGTAGTGCTGTGTTCTCCAATGCGATATATGTTGTGTTGTTTTTGGGTATACTCTGCTTCTTTAGTGCGTACAAACCCCTGCATCGGATACTGAGCATGTGCTGGTGCATGTCTTGTCATCAACGCTTTGCGATTCACTATCATATTGTGGCATATATTCTGACGCAGTCCCGTCGGCAAAACACCATGCTCATGTTTTGGCACATGCAGAGAAATGAGCATTCAAACGAATTGTACTAGTTCTCCACACACCACGCTTGACTGCCTTCCTAGTAAGCCCATGTGGCTTGCATCTGCCTTTGTAGGCCACCCTTACATTATGCAGGTAATCCTGTTGCTGTGCAAAAGCTGAACATGCGCAGCAAAACATGTATTCCATTTGTTTGCAATGCCACATTTTGTTTTACATGTGGGTCCTATGCAGTGGATGCCATGCGCACCTTCATCCGCTCAGTTCTTTGCTTTCAAAAATTAAAAAGCGGTACTTACTCTGTCCCAAATTAAATTGCAGTTATGGTTTATGGCCCTGGGAAACCCATTAAAACATCTTAGAATTTCACTAAAATTGAAGAAAATGTTTCAATTAATACCTAGTTTGTGCTACCAAATTTTTGAGTCAATCGGTTAAGGTCTCCATCCATGGTACTATTTTGAACAGACTCTGCTTTTCTAGAAATACCACAGTTCTTTCAAGGCGGCAACGAAACCGCCTGTTTCTGGGCCCCGGGCCATACCACCTTCCGGTGGCCCCCTCCAAGCGAAACGAAAAGAATTGGAGATGCGCTTTCGACTGTAGGTCAGAGTGGAGAAATAGAAGTAGAGGGCAAACTGCCACCTCATTCCTGAAAAGCCTGATCGAGGATCTTGCCTGTAGATTCGAGACTACGTGCCAAAGAATTGAGACCATCGCTAAGTCGCCCTGTTATGCAATCAACACACCCGCCAGAATGAACTTGTCCCACACATGGCAACGGAAATGTGGATGTGTCAAGACATGGCGGCAGTAGTGTGCAATGAAAGTTAAAAAGACTGTGGCGCACAACTGGTGCACAATTCGGGGAATGGCGATTCAGGCAAAAGACAGGCAAGATCCTCAATCTTGCCTTTGGGACGAGCTGGTGCCCTAACCTCCAATTTTGCATCTCTACTCCAACCTACAATCTGAATCATTTCTCTAAGTCATGCCCCTTCATGAGATTGGGGGCACCACAAGGAGGTATGTTCCACGGCTTGAAAACGGGCTGTTTTGGAGCCATCTTGAAATGCTTGGCTGGGTGACATATGTTCATGACGACGCCGCAGAGTTGATACTTAGCCAATCAACTCAAAAATTTGGATGCACAAACTAGACTTAAACTTAAACATTGTGACAAATTTTTGTGAAAACCTGACATAGTTTGGTGGGCTTTCCAGGCCCACGGTTCAAAACTGCAATTTAATTTGGGACGGAAGAAGTAAATATGAAAGGAACATGCAGTGGAAAAAGCATGAAGCAAAACAGACGAATTTTAGTAGTTCACTTACCACCCTCAGCCAAGCAGCTTAACAGCCTGTTTCAACTCTGCTTTTGTGGAATATGGTATAACGTTCAGTGCTTTACAGTAATTTGCTTGTACTAAATTGTCCTGAAAGGGTGCTTTTCTCAGCTGCACCACACCTGTCGTAAGCCGTGGCCTGTTCTTCAGCAGCATACATGCTCGCCAGGGAGACCATGCACCATGGTTGTTTGGGCAGAGTTGGCAGTGCCATCTGCGATGCGCACAGAACAGGCACATTGCCGATGCAGTACGCTGGGCGCAGAACCCCTCCTGCCTGCGATCAGCACAACCCCACATGACTCATCCATTGCATGCATCGGAAGATGCCAAGCCACTGCTTGCTCACCGGCTGGATGATTTGGGATCAACACCACACAGGGTAACTTGGACTCTGTCGCTTGTGGAGATGGCATTCTGAACATTCTGTGTGGGGCAATGTGCCCTGTTTCATCTTGAGCTCAGATTTATCATTTTCTTGCCAGCTGAAATCACAGAATAAGATAGAAACACAGCAGCATTCTTCTGGTGTCGCCCCATGTGTGAACGCCCCCTTGACAGTCTGTCCCAGAATCAGGACAAAAATCAGTGACAAAATTAAGCACTTTCGAAAAAACGCAGTGGATTCTTGCACCTGCAAGTGGCTCACAGTCGAAAAGTCTCGGATCAGCATGCCCCAATCTGGGCAGAATTGGTCCTGTGCCAACAGCCTCGCCAGTCCTGCACCATCAGAAACATCGCAGTGGGTCAGCCAACAAGTGCATGGGCCAGGAGTCAGTGGCAAAACACACAACAGACTGTAAATTGATGCTGCAGCATCTTTTATGAAAGTGTAGTATCTCCATGCTTGGTTTGGGATTTCACATGCACAAACTACTGAAGAGGGTGCTACATCAGCAGGAAATCTACACCATGGAGCGGCTGCCAAAAGATGTATGAAAATCTGCATTGAACACCATGCATCGAAAGATGACAGCACCTTGCCTTGACAGCTGCTTGGCAATGATGGGAACTCCACGAGTGCAATTCAAGGCATGCACCCATCGCCACTTTTGGAACGCATGGTGGACCCAAACACTGCCTATGGCATGGTGTGGCGGCATTTTCTACAAAAACATTGCCCCTGGTTATGAACGTATTGTCATAGCAATTTTTTGGCTGACAGCGGGATTGATGACGAGATGCTTGAGTTGGCACATTCTTGGGCTGCCCTGCAGGTGGCAAAGGCCTGGGTTGTGTCTGGGAACCCTTCTTTGTGCACGCTTGTGAAGATGGGCCCTTGGTGTTCATTTTGTCAAGCATCGTGGCTCTTTACTGACCACCAGCAACCAACAGTGTAAGGTACTCCAGGTTCAGAAGAGACAAGTGCCACAACCAGGCTGCTGTTTGATGACATTCATATTTTATATGCTATTTTTTGTTTCATCTGTTCCATAGTATGCAATGGATGCATTCAGTCATTGCCTCACAATTCAGCGCAAGACCCATTTCTTCAAATCCAATTAATACATCACATTCAAATGTCCATGTGTTCTTGTTGAGTTGTTCATAGCCAACATTGGGAGAAAACGGCATGTTGGCGATGCCAACTGCGATGCCATTTTGACACAAAATGATGCTGTCACAGTGATTGGGATGGCATAAAAGCGGCTGCAGTGGCATCAATTTGTGTCGAGTGGCATCGCAATTGGCATCGCAAACAGGCTGTTTTCTACTGGTGCAATGTGCTTCAGTGCATTGTGGCCCTCTTGGCCAACAAGGCCATTTGTGCAAGCTGCACCTCTGGTGCTGGTAAAACATTTGCTCTCCCCCCCCCCTTCCTCGCATGCAGCATGAGATTCGGTAAGCAGGGAATTGCAGAGAGCCGGGGTACCCACCGTTTAGATGGTGGCTCCGCAGCTTTGAAAGCAGGCCAGGCAGCGTGGGCAGAATGGACATGTGGGTAAGGGAGCACACCTGCCCAGAGACACAGAAATAAAATATGCCAAGAACGACTGCTGCTGCACTCATCATCACCTCTCCAGGTGCAAGGGCCTTGTTTCATTTGTGTTTTGACAAACAGCAGCAACAGCTTCGCACAACTGTACGCAGAATAGAATGCGGTGCAGATTGTGCAACCGAAGGCATTGTGCTTCCCCAGATAGGCCCTTTTCGACAAGAGGCATGCTCCTGGACTGTGTGGATTGCCCGTGTGTGTGTGTGTGTGTGTGTGTGAAACTACACAACATTTGTGAAGCACGTGCTGAAGCTGGTACTGTATGCCACAATTCCAGTGCATACACAAGATGGAAGCCCACGATTATGCACAGAGCGATGTCACACTGCAGGGTATGGGTGCCGCACAGAAAGGCTACCAGTGGAAAGATTCATCCCTGGACGAAAAATGCCGCCATGTTGCGACTTCGTTTTCAACCAAGCCACAATTGTGCCTGGAATCAAGGCAAAGGCCAAATCCGCGCTTGGAACTGATTTCTGGCGACGCAGCTTCGCCCCCTGACCGCTTCCCCGAACTCAGAGCGCGTCGCTCTTGATACCGCAAACGAGCAAGTCCATCCATGGCGGCATTGCCCCACTGCCATCCAACCCCGTCATGCCACAAACAAACGCCGCCGCTTATATAACGCGCCAATGTTGGCCCAAGCGCCGTGCTTTGCCATACGCGACAACGCAATGTACCTCAGACAATTGCACAGCTCCAAATTCGAAAATTGCAACTCCCCACTCACTGGGCTCTCCAGTCCCTCCCCTTGCTCCGCCGCAGGCCTCTCCTCGACAGCAGGGTCCAGGAGCTGCCGAAATTGAACTAAACGCCCCCTCCAAAATACTCCCTATCCAGTCGATAGGTCACTGCCCCAGGGATCTTTGAAGCGGCGCCCATGCATGCCCCGACACCGCCGCGATCCGCCCACAACGCCGACGCCGCCGAAATGTCCTTTTGTACGTACGAAAGGACGAAAAAAATCCGAAAAAGGGCGGGTCACTGATCCGTGGGTCAGCCAAGGTTCCCGCCGCCGTTGACTTCGCGTCCACCGTCGCCGGCGGACAGTCTTTGCGCCTGGGGGATCGAGGCCCCTGTCCCTCTAGCCTGCGCTTGCGCCGCTTTGCCCCCGATTGGACTAACCTATTAGTTCACAACTAAAAGTTAGGGGCGAAATAAAAGGTATGTCTTGAAGGAAATGCCGTCGATGCAAATCAAACGGCCCCCTTTGGAGTGCACACGGGAAGCGCGAATCCACGATCGCCGATGCTTCAACGGGTTGGCACACGGCCAGATGCAAGGCCACGACACACGCAAAACGCCCAGGGCTTACATATTTGTTCACCCTTCTCACAGCGAAGAGCCTTGCCAACGGTGGCAACGACCCCCGCAACCGAACCCTTCGAATTACCTTGCACCTACAGAACTTTCCTTTTCATGTGACAAGGACCATCATCCATCAACAAGTTGTTGACAACAACCAGCCATACGACACTCCAAAAATGCCCACTCATCAGGCTTGGTTTTTACGCCGTAAAAACTGATCGTATTTACGTTTTTACGCGTGGAAATGCGTAAAAATACGTAAATACAACGTAAAAACTGCCAGGTGTACATAAGGACAGTACATACAGACTTACGGAGTCCGGAGAGTGGCAGCCAGACGCCCTAGAAGGGGCAGGAAACGAGTTCTTGTCAAACACCATCATCGCCCTTGCCAAGGGCGAGGTGGACACTATGTTGCGGGTGCTGGATATGGCGGAAGTCTGATCATTGTCCACAACTTTCATCACGTAATCTGGGCGTCCAAAGGAGTCGTAAAAACGTAAAAATAGCCGTAAAAATAGGGTCTTTTGCAAATTTACGTTTTTACGCGTAAAAACGTAAAAGTAAAAACGTAAACGTAAACGTAAAAACCAAGCCTGCCACTCATTACCACAATAATTCTGTGAATCCTAAAACATGTTTTCTTTTTTCTATAGATTCAGAATGTTTTGCATATAAACCATCTTCTTGACGTGTATACAAGTCGCACACCATAATGCATAAGTGATCCACCTAGTGAAACGGTGGTCATTATGCGGTGTTGCGAACATATGTGCAATGTGGTGCCTGACGGCATTCAAGCAGTAACGCTCAAAAGCATAAAACTCCTTGCCACGAGAATTAGGAAAGTGAGATGAATGGTGCTGTTATGCGCCGGCGCGCGCAAAACTGTGCAAAGTCGTAGAGGCACACCCTGCCGATGTGAGATGACACGGCACGGGAGCACGGAAGCCGCACGTGTGACAGTTCGTCAGGAAAGCGATAAGCCAAGAAGTATTTGGAATACATTCTCGACTGTCCTTACAAAGGAGCACAGAATTCCTTCCCAAGTCAGGATAACACGTGCGTCAACCTACCCCATCTATTCGGCACCGAAAGTTAGGGGGGACCAGGGGTGGGTTCTTGAGCAGCAACACGCCAGCTTCGGCCACAGAGGCAGCAGCGCCCCAGGCGGCGACGAGGAGTCGACCCTCGGTGCTGACCCGAGCGCCCCTTCTTGGAAGTCTCAGGTGGCGCCGTCAGCCGGCGCAGATGGCTTTGGTGAGGTTGCCGCGAGGCGGTGTTGCCAAACACCTTCATCCCCCGCTGCCAACGCTTGCTAAGCAACGCCCTCTGCACATTGCTAGTTGAGAAATTTCACAAATCACGGCTGTCAAGAAGCGGCAGCAAGCAAAGTCAAGCCCTTGCGCGTTACTGGCATGACCGGCGCAGATCTGCTCAGAAAATACCATGTTTGCGATGCCAACTGCGATGCCATTTGGACACAAAGTGGCGCCATCAGTGTCTTTGCGATGGCACAAAAGTGGGTGTGATGCCATCAATTAGTTTCAAATGGCATCGCAGTTTGCATCGCAAGAATATCGGTTTCCACTGATGAGAGACTTCCGATCGCCGTTCGTTGCTTAGCGCCGTTGTGAGTTCGCTTGTGTCTCCTGGTACCAGTGCGCCCCTTGCAACTTGCCGCTCGCGAAGTTACATGGATCGCAGACGCCACGACACCACGACCGCCAAAGCCTTTGTGACCTGCGGGGTATGCCTGGAGCAGAGAGATACGATTGCCAGTTGCGGTAAAGTATCGCGGCGAGTCCGCTTTGATATTCCCCTTGCCAGTGCTTGCCGAGCAGTGCCCCCCATACTTTGCCGGTCGTGACGTTGCGTGGATCGCAGACGTGAAAACACCACGACAACCAAAGCCCTTGCAACTGGTAGGGTATGACGGCAGCAGACAGCTCCGATTGCCGTTTTTCATGCAGCAACGTAGACAATTCCCTGGGATGCCACGCTGCCAGTGCTGGTCCCACAGCGCACCTTGCAATTTCCCGTTCGGGACATTCCATGGATTGCAGTCGTCAAAACACAATGGCAACCCACGCCCTTGGGCGCCTCGTAGGGTATGGCGGGAACAGCATGCTCCGATTGGCGTTCGTCGCCCGCAGCACCCTTCCGAGTCCTCTTTTGCTCCCCCGTGGCACAGTGCTGGCCCACCAGCGACCCTTGCAATTTACCGATTGTGGCCATGAATCGCAAGAGCTAAAAACATCACGACAGCCAAGGCCTTTGCATCTCGGAGGGTGCAACGGGCGCATAGAGATTCGAGGGAAAGGCCCAACCCCCGATGAAGCCGCTGGGGGAAGACGCAACCCCCTGCGACGTCGCAGAAAGGGGTTGGAAGGATGGCTGGGCGTCAGTAGCGTCAGGATTTGCCGCAAGGGGGGATGGGAGGTTCATCGGGGCCGTCGACGGCGTCCGTAGCGTTTTCATTTCTACCACAGACTCCACGTCCCAACGGGTGGGGGTGGGGGCCGTCGCTCCCCCCTCCGGCGACCGGGAAATCCGGCAAGTGGAACCGAGATTCGCCCGAGGACTCTAGAGAGGTTCAAGGTGGCGAATCTCCACACCACACTACGCCACAACGTGCGAAGGCCGCCGGGAAACCCAAGGGAACGCCCGACATACCCGGCAAGAAATGGAAGCAGGGTAGCCCCCCAGTGCGAGCCCTTTTGAATGGCGCTCTGGCGGAAGCTCCAGGCGCTTGCCTTTCTCACCTCTGCCTTGTAGGGTAGGACTGCGCACTCTCCGCTTCCGGTGTTGTGGACCACGTGCGCGGAGATCCGCACAAGATTAAGCTGCCCTGCACCCCGCCCACTGGCTCGGACCGAATCCACGTCTTTCTGCAAAGAATTGGGCAATGTGTATAGCCCACCATGTATCGTATGCTGTTGTAGCAAGAACTGATCAAGCATCATTATAGCTGGACGCATAGAGATGCGATGAGACAAGGAACTGCACCAGGAACAGAATTACAGACACTGATGAACGGAGCGGACAGAATTCTTGTTGTCCCCGTGAGGGCTCAAATTTGCTCCGCTGTAAACCGTTGCCGTGTACTCGAGCCCACGGTACCTAGCCAGAGGTCGCCCCTCCTCGACCCTGCCCGCCTTCGTCAATGGCATGAATGCATTTCTTAGTAATTGACAACCATATGCTCTCGCGCGCCTTGGGGCGATATCCCCTTCTGGGCAACGAGGAAGGCCTGGCTGCGGGTGCCGATTCCTAACCTGCGTGGCTGCATGTGCCACCCGAGGTTTTTCGCTGCCCCTTCAAAATACTTTCACGACTTTCTGGCCAGCCGCGACTATTAAAGTCCATGGGAAAACCGCTGGGTGGTGCTGCAATGCTCTTGCATCATTGTTTGGTAGTCGTTGATGTGAACGTCATCGTCGGCTGATTGTTATTGCCAATTTTTTTAGGTGCCATATGCTACGTCATTTATGATACATTCTGGGCTTAAAATTGCACACTGAACTGTTGCTATTTTTTGTACGTATTAAACCTGATGCATTACTCTGCATTGCCTCAATAACTATGCGTCGGCATTGCTGCTTCAATTTCAAGTCAAGTTCCGGATGAAACA